GTTTGTCGTTGCAAACATTTACAAATGCGCAGTCATGCATTTCGGCCTGGGAGTGCATAGTCAAGCTTATTATCCTTGTACCACGGTTCTCCCTTGGCGGTCGCGTGAGACTGTCACCACACCGGTCAGAGAGCTAGCTATTGCGTTTCTTGGGTCGTCATACAGACATTTCATCCGACTAGACATGTCAACCGATTTTCCGGTGCCACCGATTATACTTCGGTGGTACAACATTCGCACAGCGAGCGTAGAGGGTTGGGATGCGCTATATAATGACCGGATCCACGAATGGAACACCCTAGCTGCATTTTAGTTTTTCATGTTTACATTCTTTATTTGTAATCTTATTTGTACGTTGCTCTTTTAATGAGAACATTAATATTTTATATTGTATTGCTTACTGCATTCTATATGTTGCATGGGTAAGTTGCGCGGATCCACGAACGGTTATATCAAAATTTAAAAACAGCACTGATAATATGTTTAAGTTGGAAGCTAAAAGAACAATCTAAAATGTTACAATTTTACAACATAATGTCCAACATAATGCTCTATAAATAAAATACAATAACCATCAGTAATCCCTCCTCGACGACGACTCCCACTGCGCAAGGGTCTGTTCCAGACTATCAACAACAGCTCTCCCTGTTGCACTCATGCTGTCCTTCTCAAGAGAGAGTTTCTGTACGTCTTGCATTATCTTTCCCATCCACTGCATACAACAAAAAACAGAAGATTAAATACAATAACAACAAATAAAACTTAATTAAAAGACAACGATAAATATAATAAAAGACATACCGCTTCCGTGGCAGTAGGCGGTGGCACATAATCATCATCGCTGTGGTCGAGATCAGCGATCAACCTCGGGTGCGAATACCGGTTGAACCATTCCATGTAGTAATGGTCACACATGGGAGTAACCCCAGAGGGCGGCCGCTACAACTCCGCAGTCCATAAGCGGGCCACCATCGGAAACTGGTCCCACGTCCCGGTCATGATATCCGGCCATTCCACGACGTAGTCCCTCGACGATGCAGGTCGGACCGCCTTCATCGGGCACGCCGGGGGAGGAGGGACAACTTGGACAAATCCAAGCTGGCGAAGACAACGCTGGGGCATGTACGCCTCGACGATGTCACGATACTGAATGAGTCCCGTGTACAGGGTCCTGGGTACCCTAACACTAGGGTTCGGGCCGAAAGGCATCCAGTTCACCTGTACAATAACAACATATAAAATTTAATAACATGAATATAATATGTGCAAATAATAAAATGTAGACTCTATAAATAAACGTTACCTCTAAGGGGGACAGCCTGTCCAGAAATAACCGTATCGATCGGAGGCGGTCAACGGACTTCTTCTCCGAGCGCGGACTCCACGCACAAGCACGCGGCATCCCCTCATCAATAGGAACTGAGTCACGATGTGGTCGCAATGCAGGAAAGTACTCGTATATCCAGGTCTGCAATAGAGTCAGACACCCGGTGATACCTGCCGCGTCAGCCCGACTCGCAAATCCTAGTTGGCGATACAAATACGCCAACGTAGCCGATCCCCAGGAAAACTGGCCTACACTGTCGGGGTCACACGCCTCTACGATGTCGCGTGGCCTGAGCTTGTTTCCGCCGCTCTTATCCGGAAACAAGGTACATCCGAGGAGTAGAAAAACATAAGCACTCAGCTGTGCGTCGGGCGTCCTACGTGCACTCGGGTACAAACACCGCTGCAACACGGATGCGATCTTCACACCTCCGTGTTCCCAAACACCTAGCGCCTCGGTGTACAGTGCAGCCCTGTCCACCGCCAACAACTCCGCCAGCGAATCTGCCTGATCCGCATCAGCCACAGCACAAAGTCGTTTACCCTCAACACGAATCCCCAGAATGGCCTCGACGTCATGTAACATGATCGTCATCTCACCGAACGGAAGGTGGAAAGAGTTTGTATCCGGCTGCCATCGCTCAATGAAAGCCGTGATCAGCGTACTGTCAATCTTATCGTGCATGGTGGCATGAACGTGCTTCACCCCAGTGCCCTCCAGTCGCTCGAACATCTCGCTCTCCGCCGGCCAGGCCTCAGCCATGTACGCAAAAAGCTACAAGTCTTTTCCCGGGTATGACATTTCAACAACCCCGTAACTGAAGGCCTCTCCTGGTCCTCCCAAATACGGGCAGCTATGTGTCCTAGAAAGCTAGGAATCACACTCCCGTCAACAGGCCCACCGGGCACCTCACTCCTAACAACCCAAGAATCATTACCGGCCCTCGACCGTTTCCTGCTTGCCCCAGATACAGTGGACGCAGATGATGTGCCAGATCTACTAACAAACCTACCACCCCTACCCTTACGCACCTCCACCATATGCGTCTCGTACATGTCATCAACCCTCTGACTGAATGGACCGTAATCATCATACGGTCCACTGCCATCGTCCACATCCTCATCCTCATCTGCGCCCTCCTCCTGCTCCTCCTCCTGGTCACCCTCCTCAGCATCATCATCGTCATCGTCATCCTCATCCCGACGGTGGATCCGTTCTCTACGAACTGAGGCCGAAATACCACGGGATCTGACATGTCTATGCCCCGACCTCTCCACTGAATAACTTCTACTAAGAAACTCTATATTCTTCCCCGCACCATGACGACCCAGTGAATTCTACACAAAATTTTAAAATATATAAACATACAAAAATTTATACGATAAATAATCATCATCGCAAATCAAATAAACTAAAAACATACAAATAATTGTAAACAAAATATAAACGTAGAAAAAATACAACGAAATTGAAAAAATTTATAAAAATAAACAACAAAATATAAAAACAATTCAAAATTATATTACAAAAAAAAAAAAAAATTAAAAACAATTTTTAAAAAAAAAAAAAATAAATAAAAAAAAAATGGGGGGGGGGGCGCCCTGGCTGGACGCCCAGCCAGCGGTGGTGGCGCCAGCTGCAGACGCCGTCACCAGTTGGCTGGCGCCTGGGCTGGACGCCACAGCCACGGCTGCGGCGCCTAGAATAAACGCCACAACCGTGGCCGTGGCGTCCAGCCCAGGCGCCAGCCAACTGGTGGCGGCGTCTGCATCTGGCGCCACCACCGCTGGCTGGGCGTCCAGCCAGGGCGCCCCACCGCGTTCACGGCGGTTTTTCCCTTTTTTTTTTTTTTTTTTAAACAAAATGTACCTTTCCTCCTTGGGACATCCTTCCCTCCGCCGCCGCCGCCAATTCCTTGCCTTGCCGCCTCGACATTGCCGTTATTTGAATTTTTTTTTTTTTAGAGAGGTTGAAAGAAGATGAGCAATGAGAGTGTGAGTGATGAGAGTGTGAGTGTTTTTTTTTTAAGGTCAAGGGCAATTTTGGCAAACCAAGTGAATTTTGTGGGCTTTATGTAGTAATTTGTGGGCGATGTTTAACAAATCCCAATAATTTTGGTACTCAATGTGAGAACACGGTTTAAAATGTTCTTCTCACATAGAGCTATCTATTACGCGTTAGTACTTGCAATAAAGGAATGAAAATATTGGCATTTAGATTGGTGGGCTCAGTACTTACCTGTTTATTGCGAATGTTTTACAGGTATAGTTATCATAAATAAGTGTTTGCTCTAATCACTGGCAATGTGGCATTCTAATTAACCTATATCTTCCCTTACTGCGTCTTCGACTGTTATAGTTTTTAAACACATCAAAACCTAATGTTATTTTAACCTTTTATTGAAAATTTGCAGAGGTGGTTTTTAAAGCTTATACTTTCTTATAGAAACAGAATTTCACCAAAAGCTTAGGGCATTATGGCCCCCTGAATGTTCTAGCTAGTGATCTTCATCGAAAGATGTATGTACCTGGAGCTTTACAGCTTAGAGCATATCTGAAATATAAGGACAAAGAAACTGGAATACAGAGGTAAAAGGATAGCAAATTACAAGTACTTCGCATTGGTCATAACCAAAATAGCCCATACTAAGCATATCATCATACAAAAGAGACGACTAAGCAGAATTTTTGCAATAATGGGCAAGGATATACTTCCCCCTTCGTTCACTTTTAGTTGCAACAGTTTGACTAAAAAAGCTCTCACAGTTTTGGTCAAAATGTTGCAACTAACAATGAAAGGAGGAAGTATAATGTCTAGTCGAACAATGCAAACAAAGGCAAAGTGCCATGCCCTACTAAGATATAACAGAGTAGTTAATCACAGTTCAGGAAGTAGTAGCATACGCGTAGTAAAACCCTTGCTAAAGGTGCAAAAAGAAATCGCAACTGAAATTGAAAGTAATTATTAGCAATTGCCACAACCCAGCAACAGCCTACATGGTAGTATGGTACACTGAACTGAGTATCCTGTCAAATATAAGGCAGATAACCAAAATTTCTTTTTTCCATCCGGTGATGCTCTAGGAGGAGGTAAGTCAGCAGGAAAGTAGGATGGAATTAATAATCTTTCTTCTACCTCCTAGGGCTAATCCACAGAAATTACTAGTGGGCATAGTATGACAGAAATTAAATGCCACCATAAGAATAGTCAAAAACCAATTGACACACTGAATTCTACATGCCAACTACAACAGTAAAGTGTGCAACTAAACAGATTTGAAATCAGCAAGTGAGAATCAAATACCATAATAACAACCACAATTCCACAAATTAAATATTAGGGAGAAAGTGTTCAGCAGCGAAGTTGCAGTGGAAATCAGAGAAATGGGCAACCTTATGAACATTTGTTGCTGAAAAATTAAAGCTCAACCAGATCATCCAATTGAGCAAAGCATGGTAGATTTTTTTTTTTTTCCCCCAGAATACGAGCAAGAGTAGGAACTACTGAGACGAGCAAATATTAGTTATTTGAAGCCAAAGAGAATCAGAACCAATAGACAATGGTCCTCGAAAACACGTTCACCAAAATTTGATACCAAATCAAGAAGAGTAAATCAGACAAAACTAGTTCAGAATCACTAAACAAAAAAGTAGAACAGATAAAAAGGTACAGGTAACGTAAGCGGTTCCAAAATGCTCATATACCAAAGGAAAGAACTAGAAAATAATCTTAATAAAAAGTCCAAAGGAATACAGCAGAAAAATAACAGCAAACTACCGCCTTTTACCCTACTGAAAATTAAAAGTGCATTGCTCAGACAGGAAGATAACAGCAAAAAAAGGCAAAAATGTAAATTACAAATCATACCTAATTTGTGATTGGAGCTCTGCTAATGAATCCAAGATTAACAAAAACTATACACAATATGGACAAGATGAGAGAACTAACCAAGCAGATCGTCATGTGCACAGTTGGCCAAGGACACCCAGTGCCATGCCAACCAAGGCACACCACTGTATAATGAAGCTTGCATCAAATTAGGCTAGAATTGAGCAGATGAAGGACAAGATCCAGGCGTGAGAAGGGAGTGGATGAAGAATGATCCATGGAGAGCTAAGAAAGACTGAGAAACAAGTAGAAGAGGGGCAGAAGAAAGGGATGAGCTTATGGGGTGGCCTAGAGTTTCAAAACTGTTCCATGAAGAGCATCTCTCTCTCTCTACTTTTGAGACGTAACAACTTGAGTATTGCTTAAGCTGACAGACTATATACACTTGAATAATTGGATGACGTATAAACACAACCAATCAAGCAATAGCCAATGGAAACATCTCGAAGATATCTAAGCAACTGGCAGTCAACCAGCCTTTACTGCCTCTCCACTTAGTTCTCTTTTAACAAGCTTTAGAATCTCAATGATCTGCACATTTTGGAAAAATAGTTATGATCACAAAATAGAAAATAAAAAAAAAGGGTTTAACCAGAACTCTGCTGAAAAATCAATAGGGATCAAACTGAAATAATGAAATCATATATGAAAATTATTCCGTCCATAACTATAGCCATAGGATTGGAAAATTTTCATTATTCTAACTTCCAAGTCATACTTTGACTGATATTATATTTCATATGATCCTACATATATATAAAATTCTGTTTAAGACAAATACAATAATACTTTTGACACATGATTAATCTGATATCTATTTACTTCCTCTGTTCCAATATTATTGCAACAATTGGACTTTTGCACTATTCATCACTCTTGTTTGACCATATAATATGATTTATACATTAAGCAAAATATAGTCATGTGGAATCTTGTTATATTCGTCTCATAAATACTTTCACTATATCAACATTTTATAATTTTTACTCTTGTACAAATATAGATATTTAACATATAAAACGTGCTTTGGGATGCGCAATTTCATCCTTGTCGCAATATTATTGGAACGGAGTTTCCTAAGAATTTTTTTTTCTAAATATTTAGAAATTTGTTACTAGGAAATTTTCTTCTCACAGATAACATTTCAAATACTAATTCAGAAATACAAGATTGAGGATATTGCAGGAATCCCATTTCAGAGGAGTAAAGGTTACAAATGGGATGCAGTTGTTGACAAGGTAAAGGGAAAGAAGAGATAAAAAAGATAGAAATGCCTGGAGTAGGCATAAGGCACTAAATAAGAAATTTTCAAATTCATGAGGATGAAATTTTATGATAGACCAGAAGGATCTAGGGCAGTAAGGGCATAATTGAATTTGGTATTTGAGCTAATTCATCATAAGTAGAAAGAAAATGGGTTCATACACCATGCACACTAATAAGTTAGGCAGTATAATCCCTCTAGATGGGTTTTGGTGCTCTAGGATCCATCTAGCTGACTGCAAATAAAAGCCTAATTTTATCCTTTTAGTCTAGGCTTTAGGTGAGGAGTGTAAGTCCTCAGATTGAGTTAGAAACCTCCCACAAAATTAAATTACGTAGTAATCCATAACATACAATTGAGAGAAAGCATAAAAATCAGGTCCTATTTATAAGCTAAAACTGATATTTAAAAAGAAAAAAAAAATAAAAAAGAAAAAAGAAAACCTTGATATATAAGAAACTTCCTAGCTCCAAGTGGCTAAAACAAAAAAAATTTAGTAATGTAAATACTCCTCCATCTCCTAATTTATTCACTATGTACTTACTATTCATGTAATCCCCTTTGACTATTTTTGTGATATATAAAGTAGGAAAATCCAACTCATGTGGGATCTTGTTAGACTTGTTTTGATGTATACTTCGACAATTTCAACTTTTAATAATTTTTACTAGTATAAATTTAAATACATAGTAAATATTAATGGTCAAAGTTGAGCGTTGGGTTAGTAAAAATCAAATTGTGTGAACTTTGAAAATCAAGGGAATAGTTGAATGTTAAAACCTAGTCCTCTGATGCCTAGTACAAACAACTCCTAATGGAAGAATAAGATCACGAAATACGTCCTCAAGTTAACAATCCATGACCAACAAAGTTTAGACTCAACTTCTACAATTAAGAGAGACATAAATTTTAATATTCCTTTCCTTTTTCCTGTAGGACCTTGGACCTCTCAAGATATAACGGAATTGATCACATAGCCTCAGGTTACAAGAACATATCTTTTCCACAAGACCAAGCCAAGCCAGATAATTTCCAACCACCTTATTCCTCATTCGCTTGTGTATATATAAAATAATGTTTGTCTACCTCTTCTACTAGCCTTTACATAGTTTGATATGCACACCCTCTTTATGGTATTTAAGTTATAATTTTAATAATAGTACTTGTGTAATACATACAGATCTTTGTTTACAGCAATTATTTCAATTATAGCAAAGAAATGGCTACCTTAGACAGTTAATTTTTTTACAATATAAAATCCTTTTGGGTTATATCAAAACAGTCTTTTTTACTTGTTTACGCATTCTTGAAGTAAGGCAAGGATGCATCTCGGTGGGATCCACACTAAGTTTCAGAATCATGGGCAAGCAAAAGAAATTAAGCACAGAACTTACCCCGGGATAATGTTGCAATATTGGGGAGTAATGATCAAGTGCTACATATATCTTTTCAAGAAGGCTCAATAGAGCATCCACCTCGTCCCCTAAAAGATCCACCTACATCCAAATCACAAATAAGATGGTAAATAAACCAAAAGTTATAGAGGACCCAAATTGAATCATGATTTTTTCGTCAATTTGTTCTGCAAGAAATTGAACAGTTATAATTTCAACATTGACCTTTTTACTTATTACGGAGTTATATGTGATAGAGAGAGAGGGGGAAGGGGATTACTCCTTTATCATGTAGGATATTGTTACTTTTTTTTTTTTTTCCAAATGTGATTTTTCAAAACAACAAATTGTATAAAAATTTATTAATACAGCAAGAAAGATATGATTATGATAAGGGATGATTTAAGCATTAAATATATTTCCTAAAAGTTATACTTCCTCCATTTTTTTAATTTGGTTTTAGGCTATAACAAAACTAATTACTCATAGTTAATTCAATTTTTCCCCGCCCCCACTCTACCTTCCTCTTTTCTGGTCAAAGTGCAATAATGATAATGCAACACCTAAATTTCCCAAAATCACCTACTCCGTAATATAATCTACAACAATATATTCTGGCACTCTACACATTCCCTAGACTCATATTTCCCAATATTAGCTTATATCAGGACTTTCCAACACAGCAGGCATTGACAGTTAATGCATAAACAAGTGATGGTTATGTAGAACCAGAGGGAGTAGATGTTAGAGGATAGCAAAGTATGGGGCATGCATCGTCTCTTTTAAGATCCGCCACAATACATTGCGAAAAAAAAAAAATCAGAATAAGACATACCTCAGATTCAGCTTTCTGAAGATCAGAACACTTCTTTTCCAGCCTTTCTTTGTATAAGAAACCCGTCCGTCGGAGCACATTAACCTTGGGAATCAGAGATTGTAACTGAAAGGCTGAATTCTCCAGCCTACACAAAGATTAAATTATTCATTATCTTTCAGAGATAACTAACTCCAAAGAAACATTTGAAAATATGCAAAATTAATGCAGGCATTACATACTCGTGTCTCAACACCTACAATAACATCTAAAAGCTCCAATTAGTTTCCAAAATAACCACTGTACAATATCTTCCTTCCAAAAGAATAAAGTAAGCTAAAAATGGTCACAAGAAAAAAAAAAGGGGGGGGGGATGCAACCCCACCCAATGACAACAGATGAAAAGAGGGGGGGTGGGGGGCATTAGCATATCTATGTTTGAGAAATAGTGGCATAAACTATTTTGATATGTTCAAAACTAGTTGTATTGTGTTCAAGTATCTTTGCATGTTTTGGTAAAATCATGGTAATTTCTTAAATCTGATCAATGGGACAAAATGACAATTATTTTTCGAAAGACATATGAGTAGTATTATACTTCTTATTTGTTATTTTAAGATACAAGATTTCTTTCTTGTTCACAAAATATCTTTACGCATTAATACTTTTTGGAATTTGAGATGGTTTGAATAATATATGGAATTGAAGCAATTTCTCATACCATCACACAATAAAGTAGTACAAAATTGAAACACATGGATTGCTATGACAGATAAAGAAGAAAGGAGTCAGAAGATATACGCATCAGTAAACTATCAAATTGACCTCCACATAAAGTTGCAAAATATATTGTCAATCAAACTATGATAATGATTGAAAAATCAAATTTCATTGATTGCATCTACTGCCTAAAGATTAAACAACCCCTTTGATTTATGCAAAAATTTAGAGTCACTATTATTCAATTCTAATCTTAATCAAATTAAGAATAAGCCTATTAACTTGGTAATAATTTCTAGTAGTACAAGTAATTACAACAGTACAGATATACATATATATACACACATAAATATACAAGATATGAAGTACAAGAAAGAATAACATGTGTACCTCACATTGTGCCAGCCAATACTTTCTTTTATTCTGAGTTCAAAATCGCCAAATGACTTAGATAATCCCTGGATAACATGGCATAGAGATTGCAGATGCTTAATGTGTACATCGTCTTTATCCTTCATTAATTCCATGTCAATTTGCTTCAGTTCTAAGACTGATATTAACTTTGTCTTCTCTTCATTAGACATCCTCAACTTTTGTTCAGACGATTTAAGCCCTTGATTCAAATTGTCCACTTCAAGTGTATAAGAGTCTATTTGCTTCAGATAGTCTTCCATTTTGCCCTTCAGCAAAACTAATTCTTCATTTTTGTCAGATATAAGAGCCTCCTGTTCTGCTCTCAAGTGTAATAACTTATCAAGCTCCGCTGTAAACTGCACCTTGTCTTTCTCAAGGAGAACTGTAATTTCAAGCAATGATTTCTCTTTTTCTTTGACTGAACTTTCAAGCACAAGAACCTGATGCTTCAAATCTATATTTTCTTCAACCTTCATTGCCAATTCGTTCTCTATTTCGGAGACTTTCCTTTGAAGAAAATCCAAACTTTTGCTGTCCGTTAGACATCTGTCCTTTAACCCAGTGAGTTCCATTGACATATCTTCTAATGCTTCTTGGTAAATTATTCCGTTAATCTGTTGTATAATAGAAGACTGCAAACATGAAAACTCTTCATAGTCTGATTCACTGGCAATTACAACAGGATGAAAATCTCCATGAGTCCCACAGACATCTTGTGTGATTCTAGACTTCACATCACCATCTTCAGAGGTACAGTTGATCAGTCCATCCATCTCCCTAATTATGCATTTGTAGACCTCTTCACTAATAGATGCTTTGATATGTTCATCAGAAATAGCAGACTTGTGATCTCTCTGAAGATTCTCCTCAGCCCTAGAATGTTCTATTATCTGTCCACGGAGTAAGTTCTTGAGGTGACAATTTTCAGTAAGTAGGCTACCCATTGTGTCCTTGGAATGATTACAAAACTCAGACAATTTTTCATTTTCCCTAACAATGTCATCCAACTTTGCAATAACCTCTGGAATCTTTTTCTTCAAATTTTCGAAATCCTTATCCTTCTTAAATGCCGCAAAAGATCCTTTTTCCTTCATGAGTTCCCGCTCTTTCAGAAGTTCACGCCTCAAAGAAAAATTTACATCTGTCATTTGCTGCACAGTAGACTCATGTCCCCGTTTCATCTCAGTTATCACGGTCCTAAAGTG